TTTTGCCCAGAATCAGGAGGTTTTTGCCCGGAATCAGGAGGTTTTACCCAGAATCAGGAGGGTTTTACCCAGAATCAGGAGGTTTTTGCCCAGAATCAGGAGGTTTTACCCAGAATCAGGAGGGTTTTACCCAGAATCAGGAGGTTTTTGCCCAGAATCAGGAGGTTTTACCCAGAATCAGGAGGGTTTTACCCAGAATCAGGAGGTTTTTGCCCAGAATCAGGAGGTTTTACCCAGAATCAGGAGGGTTTTACCCAGAATCAGGAGGTTTTTGCCCAGAATCAGGAGGTTTTACCCAGAATCAGGAGGTTTTTGCCCAGAATCAGGAGGTTTTTGCCCAGAATCAGGAGGTTTTTGCCCAGAATCAGGAAGGTTTTGCCCAGAATCAGGAGGGTTTTACCCAGAATCAGGAGGTTTTTGCCCAGAATCAGGAGGTTTTACCCAGAATCAGGAGGGTTTTACCCAGAATCAGGAGGTTTTTGCCCAGAATCAGGAGGTTTTACCCAGAATCAGGAGGTTTTTGCCCAGAATCAGGTTTTTGCCCAGAATCAGCTCAGAGTTCCGACTGTTCCAGCTGCTCCCTGTTCCTGCTGTTCCCTGTGTCTGCTGTTCCCTGTTCCAGCTGTTCCCGCTGTTCCAGCTGTTCCCTGTTCCAGCTGTTCCCTGGCTCTGGAATGCTCGCAGGACAGTGCTCAGCACTGACTGTTGGTTTGGGTTGGTTTCCAAGGAAACCCCGGGGTGCCATTTGGTGCGAGGTTTCCCTGGATCCCTGTGTCCGTGGATCCCTGGATCCCTGGATCACTGGATCCCTGGGTCCCTGGATCCCTGGATCCCTGGGTCCCTGGGTCCCTGGATCCCTGCATCCCTGGATCCCTGCATCCCTGGATCCCTGGATCCCTGTGTCTGAGCTCCTGGGGAGCGCAGGGGCTCGGGAAGGGCCTGGGGAGGCACCAGGAGCTCTCTGAGGAGCTTTGGGACAGCGTTCCCAAAACATCCCGTGGTTCTGGGCTGTGCTCCGGCAGCAGCCGTGGAAAATCCCGCAAAAGGCTGGAGCTGGGGCTGGAATGTGAGCGCAGGGTGGGAATCCCTCAGCTGGAGGAGACACAACCTGCCAGAGGCTCTGGGATGTGATGTCCCCAGACCTGGATCAGGTTTAACCCCTGGAAAAGGATTTTGTATCCTGATTTCTTCCCCTCTGGGCAATCCAAGGAACCTTTCTGCTGGCTGGTCCTGCCCTGGTGGGGTTTTACGCTTCAATAAATACGTGTATTCCAGGGAAATGGGCATTCCTTCAGGAAAAAATGGATATATTGAGATGTATAAATTTCTATGTTTTTAGATATTCTCTGTATAATATATATTATATATATATAATATTTATATATATATAAAATATAAATATATCTTTTATATATTATATATAAAATATATATATTTATTTTATATATAATATAATAAAATAAAATAATATATATTATATATAATATATTATATATAATACATATATCTGTTACATATACTAAATATATTAAATATGATATAATACAATATATATAATATAATATAATATAATATAATATAATATAATATATAATATATATAATATAATATAATATAATATAATATAATATAATATATAATATATATAATATAATATAATATAATATAATATAATATAATATTTTATATAATATAATATAATATAACATAATATAATATAATATAATATAATATAATATAATATAATATAATATAATATAATATAATATAATATAATACATAATATAATATATATAATATGATATGGCAAATGACATTATAATGATATGATATGATATGATGATATATAATGTAATGTAATATAATATAATACGTGATATAAGTTAATATAATGCATGAAATAATAATCTAATGCAATATAACATAATATGATATAATACAATAAAATACAATATATATCATACAGTATAATATAATATGATAAAATATAATATGATATCTAATATGAGGTATAATATGATATTAATATAATATATTACATAAAATAATATTATATAATATTATATAATATATGATTGAATATTATATGTTATGACATATGACATGATATATAATATAATATGATGTAATATAATATATAATATATGATATTATAATCTAATACAATATTAGTAGATAATGCAATATAAAAATATGATATACCATAAAATACAAAATATAATATAATATGGTATAATATGATAAAATACAATATGATATATATTATGATATATAATATTATAGAATATGATATAATAGAACATAATATAGTATGGTATGATATAATATGATATGACATATGACATATTATAATGATATGAGACATGAGATGTGATATATAATATTATATAATAATATAATATAACATAACATAATATAATATAACACAATATGATATATTATGATATATAATATTATATAATATGATATAATATTTAATAACATGATATGGCAAATGACATATGATATAATATAACATAATATAATGCAATGTAATATAATATAATATAATATAATATAATATAATATAATATAATATAATATAATATAATATAATACAA